TCTCTTGTCTTCCCTCCATTAAGGGCGGTAATGAGGCGAGTTGTGAGCTGAGGAGTTTGTCTCTGATGACGATCCTGAGGATTCTTAATAGACAGCTGTTGGTGCGGTGTAAAGAGAAGTCCTGCTGATCGGTCTGACAGCTGTGACCTGCTGCAGGACCGGGCCGACACTCTGAACGCCTCTTGTGCTTCTACTGAGCATTTAAGTCTTATTAAAAACATATTTAAGTTATTTAAGACCTGTCAAGAAGACTGACAGTAATAAGGTCACAAAGAGAAGAGGGAGGTGCTGAGTCTCACCTTAGGGTCAGGTTTGATTTTAGTTTTGAGTTCCCAGAATGCATCGCAGGTTAAACTTCACATTTCTTTGGATCTATAGACCCTTTTAAGTCCTCGGTCTCGATATTAGCTGGAGGCAGTGTTCCCTTATTCCAGTAACACCCCTGGTCCCAGAGAGTAAAGCCCAGTTTCCACTAAGCGGTCTGGTTCAGTTCGGTTCAGTACGGTACCCATTTATTGGCGTTTTCACCATCAAAAGTTGGGAATGGTCCAATCCAAATTAAGGGATCTGAACCATCCTACTTTATTGGTACCCTTCTGTTGGGGTGCCAACCATTCTAAATGGTCCCTTTTGTTTACTGTGTCTCTGTTCTTCTTGAACATTGAACTTAATTAATAGCAGGCTACACTGTGTTGGGCTGCTGTAATGTCACACTATTACATAGCTGATGCAGCTATCTCTATCTGGCTTACACTCTGATTATCAAATAAGGATGAGACTGGCAACACCAGGGTTTACCGTCCGAACTAAACCAAACAGTACTAACCCAAACTGGACTGCTTGGTGGAAACTGGGCTTTAGTGACTTCATATATTCAGAGAGACTTTTATTTTCTTCCACATATCAGCAAACTAAAAACAACATGCTAACTATAGTTTGCTAACATGTCTGGAGCGAAGAATGTTTTGCCTGCAGCTAAGCCCCGCCCACCAAAATATCATATTGTTTACAAACACTAAAAGGGTCTATAATAGTCCAAAGAGAATACAGAGCAATTTTTTGGACAATTTCAGAGTTAGGCTGGCACTAGGCTAGACGATTTTAATAAGGTGGAGACCACAGATATGAGGAAAGATTTGAAACATTATGATCCTCCGGACGCACAGACAAGAGAATTCAGACCACAAGACAACACATGGTGTTTGTTGTAACCATTACGCAGACACATGACATCTCACAGATACTCAGATGATCAAACGAGAGTACAGAAACAAAATAAATATGGAGGACATCCACATGAGACGATATAAAGACACTAGTATTGTTGCCATTATTCTACAAGATGCTCTTATTTTTCAATATTGTCCTTGGCTCGTGTCTCAGTTGTGTTTATGTTCGCTGCCATGTGTGCCTTGTGAGCTGTCAAGGCCCTGACACACCAAGGATGTTCAGGATGATGTGACCAACACAGAGAACCAGATCAGGGTCTTTGTTTCCCTGCTTGTTTTTTTCCCGTTTGGTTCTCCAGCTGTTCTGTCTGAAGCATGAAGACATGAGGCCCGACATGAGCCCACATTTAAACACCGGGTCATGTGATGAGAGACAGGAATTCAAAATGAGAGGCGGCGTGCGGAGCTGCAGCTTCTTTCAAACAGAAACATGCTTTACACTAAAGCCTGAAACCCTTTGCAATGTGTTCAACACTTCAGCATGTAGCATTAAGGATGTGCACTGCCAACGCTCCCAATGCTACTGTTAGCATAAACAACTTGCCCATATTACGTCCTTATATTCTTACACCAAACAATAGAAACCTTTACTGGTGATTCTGTTGCTGACACATGATGTGAAACCTTGAAATGAAGCTACAGTTTGATATGAACAGCATCTATAGCTGTGGCTAACAGCTATGGCTAACAGCTACAGCAAACAGCTACGGCTAACATTTCTGATTAATAGTTGCTAAATGGGACAAATGGAAAGGCGTAAATTCAGAGCAAATGTAAATAGGAAATGGTTAAATGTGACTGTTTCTGTTGTCTAATGATACAAAGTATTTATCAGATGTTTTTTTTTTTTTTTACTGAAACCTGTTAAACTTTCCACCCTAGGCTTGATTTTCAGAGGAAAAGAGCGGCCTTGTGAACATGGTGAATAAAACAAAAATTTAAAAACTGTGAGATCCTAACTCTCATATATTTGGATAGAGCAACCAAAGGAGTCAGAGCTGAACTTCACGGCCTTCGTTTTGATCTTTGTAAAGTTCTCAGTCTATCTTAAGGTAAGGGAGGTTATTAAGAGTTTTTTTCAGTAAATCCACAGTGACATCATCACAGTGACATCATCACCATGACGACGTATGTGAAGCTTCAGTCCGACAGAGACGGAGCAGAGACGTTTGTTCAGTCTCAAACACAACAACAAACCTGCCTGCAGAGCCGTAAATCTACTGTGTGCGTGTGTGTGTGTGTGTGTGTGTGTGTGTGTGTGTGTGTGTGTGTGTGTGTGTGTGTGTGTGTGTGTGTGTGTGTGTGTGTGTGTGTGTGTGTGTGTGTGTGTGTGTGTGTGTGTGTGTTCAGGACAATACAGTGGTTGTAGTGTGTTGGTGGTTTACAGCAGGCAGCAGGTGTGAAGGCAGACACCTCTCCTGTCAGTCTGCTCATTTCAGGCTTATTAAGTGCTCTGTGTGTGTGTGTGTGTGTGTGTGTGTGTGTGTGTGTGTGTGTGTGTGTGTGTGTGTGTGTGTGTGTGTGTGTGTGCTCGATTTGAGGCTTATCACAACCGAAGATTTGTCCAAAAAATCCTTGAGTGTGTCATGACAATGTGATTTGTGATTATTTTACTTTTCCTGATCCAACCATGTTTGATATTTATGATTCCAGGTTAGGGTGCCTCTGACAGATTACCCCGAGTAGCAAGTGAACATCAACACAACCGAGCCCCGAGGGTCTTTATAACGTCTCATGAAGACAAGCCACACAGCCAGCTGACCACGTCATCGTTTGTTTTTCTTATGAAGTCACGTTTGATCATGTGAGTTTCTGTGAGATCTCATGTCTGTGAAATCGTTACTACATACAGCAGGGGTGAGGTCTTGCAGAATGGCTGAATCCTCTAGCATCTGTGTCGCTGATAGCCTAGCTGTTATGTCGGGTACCCATGTGAGTCCTCAACGCAGCGGCCTTGGGTTCAAAAAGCCAATCTCTGCCTTTTGCTGCTTATCATCCCCGACTCTCTCCTCCCAACATGTCCCGTCTCTCTTCAGCTGTCCGATCTAATAAAGGCAAAAACAAATCGTCTTTAGTGTGTAGCCTGCTTCAGGAGAAGACTGAGGCCGAAGCATAAGTGTTGTTTGCATTCAATCGGATGTGGGTTTTGTTTTTTTACATTTTGTATTTTAATGTCTTTTTTCTGCTTTTTCTGTTTCTGTGTGAAACACTTTGAGTTGCTCATATGTCTCGATAAATTGATAAAAGTATCAAACTTGATGCCTCTTCTTGTGGTCGTTATCAAACGGAATGGTGTTGCTGATGTTGTGCACAGATCAGCTGACCATCATCAGTCGTCTCCCCTCGTTCAGAGGTGACCTCCTGGTTCCTCCTCCTCCTCCTCCTCTCCTGTTTGAGCTCGGGATGAGTGACGGGAGGGGCTGCTTGCTCTGCAGGGGGGGTCAGCTGTTCCAGGAGGGAAGAAAGACCGACTCTCAGCCTGGAGCAACCCCGGGGTCATGGGGACTCGCACCCTTGACCCGACCCTCAGACACCTCAGTGATCACTTGGAGTGGACCTGAAGAGCAGTACAGGAAGCTGCAGGAGGCCTGACAGAGGCTGCGATACGTCTGTCAGGGTAACTGTTCCTGAAATGATAAATACGTCTGTTGCTTGAGACTCTAAACAAAGTCAAAATAAACTTTTTAATGAATTACTGCAGTAAAATTAAAAAAGTAAAGGCCTTCAAATGTTAAAAAGTAAAAAGCCACCTTCTGGAGGACGTTTCTACCTGCTGTTTCTGTGCAAAGCCAGCCTCACCTCCTGTTTCATAAAAATAACTTCATATACACTGAACTTAAAGGCAACATTGGTCATTTCCTCCAGATCCACGTTTTCAGATGTTGGTTGAACTTGTCTTTAGGTCCTGACAGAAATTAATAACTCATGTTCTCTGAAAAAGGAACAAAGAAAATCCGTCATCTGTATCAGTTGTAAGGCTGTAAAAACTTTGACCAATGTCTGCCACGAGGTACCAATCTGATGAACCAATCAGACGACTCCCTGTCTCCCTGCTCGTTCTCAACTCCTTGTGTGCTCTAGCCCACACTCAAAGCGTGTCACCGATGACAGAGTTTATACTGTGAGTTTGTTGTTGGCTGTTGTGATCAGTAAAATAGTCACTTTTTTGTGTGTGGCTGCAATGAGCTTATAAGATGCAAAAATTGGACAGCCTGCAGGACGCTTAAGACTTGACTTGTGGCCTTCTGGAGGGACACGACCCTCAGATTGAAAACTACCAGACTGAACTTTCAAACTGTGCAGATTTAAAAATCTAATAAAGTATGAAAAGTAAAATGCCTCCTTCTACTTTTACTCTCATGCAGAACTTTTACTCTTAATGGACTCTTGTCGTTATGGTAACGTGCTGTTAAACTTCACTGACAGGTGGAGCTGCAGGTAACCTGTGAGCTTTACTTAAAAGTGTCATTAAGAAGTGTGCGACCTAACAGCTGATGATCCTTCAGGTTAAAGCTCTTCAGCTCTTTAGTCAACTCCAGAGTCATCATGATGAAGGGGAAAACACACAAAACAAGACAAGAAAATATATATTAGCCTACTTTGAAAGGTTTCATGCATCTTTTACTGCAGATTTGAGACACTGCAAAAGCTGAAAGAAAAAAAATCCAAAACATGTATGAATACATTTCAGTTATTTGACCTTTAATTTCATAGTGGCTGCAGCTCTGAGCTCAAACACACCGGATGAACTTGAGCAGCTGACCGGGAAACAGTTGATCCATGCGTGCTAAATTTATCCTCTGTTGACGGCCGACTGGAAGAGGACGCGTTTCACTACCGTACGTTACGTTTTATCTTCATTATCTCTAATCTGATTTGGCTCTGCCGGTCGGTGATTGTGTCCCGACTCCTCTCCTCCTCCTGGATATTTTAGTGAGCGGGTGGTGTCATGGCTGAGCCCGCGGGAAAGCGGTTGAAGAGCAGCCTGCCGCTGTGCAGAGCGCACCGGAGCTCCGGGGGCAGCCGGGCCAGACACAACCTGCAGGCCGCCGTGGAGGAGGCTCTCTGCGGGGTGAGCAGCCTGCTGTGGGACGGAGCGTACCGGCTGAAGGCTCTGGTAGGAGACTCAAACATGCACTGACAGATTAAATACTTTCTATTTATAAAAATGACAGAGGGGATTTACTAGAAGTGTATCATCAGTTGTGGGATGTCTTTTAATTGGGGAGACCTTGGTGTGTTGTGACACTTCACACCTGTGATTGACAGATCTGATATTAGTGATACCTGCATAGTAAAGGTGTTTCAGGTCTTGGCTTTAAATAGGCTTCCCTTTAATTCCTAAAACCTTTTTTAACACTAAGATATTAACCTTCCAATGCAATCTTTTACACCTGTTGGAAACTGTCGGTACTACCAACCTTGTGCAGATTGCAAGGTGTAAAAAATGTATTACTCTAAGGCACAGTCGATTCCGGCGCCAGGGGGCGCTCAATCAATATAATAACAGACTTCGAGGCTGCGGGGAATCATGGGAGTTCTCTCTGCTTCCCCCCCCCCCATCACAGATGAAAACGACCTCTCAGTTGGCCGTAGTTAAGATGAAATGTGCTTAAGCGACCTGAGGAAGAGAATATGTTTACCTACGAGCTAATGTATCTGCCTTAAAAAAAACTTAAAATATATTGACATTTTGGTAGAAAACAATAATATTCCATGCAATTTTCTCTGATTTTGCTAAACAAACATATGATTATGGATCCAAAATACTGTTGAATGTAGAGCAGGATACTTTTATTAACACTTTTTTAGAATCACTTGAACTAAGTAAATTTTAAAGTTTTGTAAATGTGCAGAGTTCCCCTTGCCATGTTTGTTTACAATTCTACAATTCACTTAGCAGATGCTTTTATCCAAAGCGACGTACATCAGAGAGTAAGAACAACAGAAGCAAGGATCTAGAAAAAAGGACACAATGTCAGTAAGTGTAAACGATCAGCTTTGAGTCCAATTGGACACACAGGTGCTGACAGGAAGTGACCAGAGGCAAAGCCATCTTTGTAGTTTGTAGTTTTTTTAATTTCATTATGATGTCATACATTTATACGCTCAGCCCATGAGCAATGACACCATCTGACTGAGGGTGGTTTCACACTAGAGACCCGATGCAGACATTCAAAGCCACATTCAAACGAGCGAACACAAACGGTGGGTAGACGATATTCAACGGGCTGGAGAGCACCTTGTGTGACCAGCGCAGGTCGATTCATGTGGGTTTGAGGTCAAATTAAAGTGCCCCAATTTGGAAGTTCGAAAATATGGTCACCCTAGCCTCATGGCAACGTTACATAAGGATGTTATCAAAAAGTTTTATAATCTTTTTTTTTCTCCTGCAGGCCAGTGTGTTCGAGCGGGACGATGTCGCTCTGCCCCGTGTCGCTTCTTTCTTCCACCAGGAGGCGCTAAAGCAGGAGGAGGAGGCCGAGGCCATGATGGGATACCTGGCTGAGAGGGGGGGCAACTTCTGCAACAAGGACATTCAGGTGGGTTTGAAATTATAGACTTCACTTACTACAGCATGTTTTTTTTGTATCGGCATGTTAGAGGAAAATGGTGGCCACATGTTGAATTAGATTAACAATCGATTAGCATTAAACCTGCGTTACTTGTAGCGACTTTAATCTAAAAGCCACTCGCTGAATGTCCGTTTGGAAGCAGCAGCTGTAGGAAGTGTTCGTTAGCATTAGCTCTAACCAGCTCTGTAGGCTATTTAACATTTAATACATAAAGTGATTGCTAATTACTGGAGGTAATACCACAACGTAAATACATTTTTTAAAAAAGGTTAGATTATTTTTTTAGGACTGCTTACTGCTAGTTCTTGCTGAGGTATTGTAAGGTGGAAGTTCGGGTGACTTTTACACCCAAAAGTTGCACTTTTTTTTAGCTTCATGCGCCGCTGAGCAGCTTTCTTTGGATGAACGGAGGTCAGCTTCTGATGCTGTATCCATTCTCTAATACAGTGGTTCTCAACCGGTGGGTCGGGACCCAAAAGTGGGTCGCAGAGCTGTTTTCAGTGGGTCGTGAATGAGTGACTGGAATAAAAAAAAAAAACGTGTCATAAAGTCTATGAAGCACTCTTAAAACATGTTGGTTCTGTTCTGTTTGTTCCGTCACATGTTTGGTACCATCTGAGGTCCAAACTGCACTTTGTCTGCATTCAATACATCTGATTGGTTTAAAATAAAAAAGGTATGTGGGTCACTATTTTTACGAAGGAGTTGGTGGGGGAGTCCTCAGGCTAGACCATCAATGCTCCAGACAGACACAGGGTACGAGGGACAGCCATCATGTAAACGAGAAACAATCTTGAATAATTATATGATAATTATTTCAAATTATCAGAAGAACATGCAAAATAATGAAGAATTGCCTCTCATGTTGTATTATTGGACTTTGGATGTCTTTTTGGTTGTTGCGGAGCTAATTAAAAAAACTTCATGTACTGTTTGGTTTTAATCTCCAACAATGTGTCGAGGAATATCGTGTCTATAACTTCAGCTGTCGGAGGATTCTCCTGACGACAAAAGATCAATAATTAAATCTGTGGAGCAGAGATATGGTTCGTATGTCAGAAGAGAACAAACGTGCAGAAACAAAAGTTATTTTTCACCGCTGACACCCAGAAGTCAGTGAGAGTTCAGGGTCAAGAGCATTTGTTGCCCTGAAAGCCGCCTCAGCAGGCAGGGTGGGGGGTGGGGGGGGTTGAGGTGAACCTGGCTCCTCTCGGGGGTCGTTCAGATGATCTGGTATGAAGAGTTGATTTGTGGATCCATTTTGAAACTAAATTTATGATCTGAACTTTATCTGTGAGACAGAGAAGCTTCAGTCTGTAACAGCGTTCTCGTTTTACTCCGACACAAAACGCCCCTCTGGAGGATTTATTCCACCTCCTGTGCCATCCTTCATGTTGTCAGAGCAGGTGTCTTCTCCAGCTCTCTCTCGCTCTGTTTCTTTCTTTTTTTTCAAACTGGAAGAGATCTTATTTTGTAAAGAAGCTCTTCATTTAGCGTCAGCGATAGGAAGGGGGCGGGCGGGGGGCTGGCGGGGGAAGAGGTTAAACCCCTGGAGACTTGGCCCAAAGCCGGTCAGGGTGTACATTCCCCCCCCCCCCCCTGAGTTCCGGAAAATTGGCGAGATTAATGCTGCGGCAGAGGGACGGTGGTGCTGATGGCGTTTCCAGATGGTCAGCAGTGGCGTTGGCGCGTCTCAGCGTGGCCTCCGACCGCCAGCCCGGGTTTATGAGTCGTGTAAAATCGTTTCGGGGCCGAGGCCTCGAGTCCAGTCAGCAGCAGTTTGGGACACCTTGTTATCCGTCTCTCAAGTGTCGTGCACCTCAGAGAGGACAAACCGAGGCCGTTACTGCTCGCCAAAGTTTGATTCTTATTGGCCATTTTTTTTTTTTTAAAGGATGGCTGTAAAGTAAACCGTGTTTCTCCCACAGCCCAGAATAAATGTGATTGTCAAACTTCGGGTCCAGCAGCTGATAAGTTTCCCGTCCTAAGCGTGATGTCAGACGTCTGCTGTGTCTATTTACAGTCAACAGATTCCTGCCTCTCATGCTGTTTGTATGTATCCGTTGTTTTCAGAAGCCGGGCTGCGAGGTGGTCCTCGCCGTGTTACCCGCTCTGGAGCTGCTGATGCTCCAGCTGAAGGAGGAGGCCGACGTCCTGGTCGCTCTGAGCCAGCTAGCCCGTCACCACGGAGACCCGCACACTGCCAGTTTTGTGAAGAGTCACTTCCTGTCTCCTCGAACGGACCGACTCAAGCTAATCGGAGACCTGCTCACCAGCGCCCGGCGGCTGGGCTGCACCAATGACCAAACAGCGGGGGGGTTCGGGAGTACATGCTGAATGAGCTGCAGGACGAGCTCACAAGATGATCGAGCTCTAACAGTCGAAGAGGAAGACTTGATTTGACCGAGAACAATGTTCGATTTCATGATTTTCTGAAGGACCAGCACAACATCTTTAGACACCAGCTCGACAAAGAGCAGCCATGAAAAATTATTTGGTTTCCTATCGTAGAAGGATGATGTAATCCGACTGGCAATTGGGAATTTCTGACTTCCGAGATCAAATGGAACGACCCAAGAAGGTTGGAGAGGGAGGGGTTAATGACGCTACAATGCTAACTGCTGTAAATGTAAAAAATGTTTTCATTTCTACACTCCTTCAGAGACAAAGATAAAAAAAAAAAGACAGGAATTGGAAAACTGTTATCCAAAGAAATCTTGTGAAATCCTTTCCTGTAAGATATGTTTTTTAAAACGCTTTAAGGAAATCAAACGTTTTTTTACTAAATAAAGGGAGTTTGATTCTATTTTAAACATCCGTGAAGACAAAGAACAAAATAGGACACAATATAGTTCCCAAAAAAAGGTCACATATTCTGTAAAATCCACTTCACCATGTTTCTCTAACTCTAATGTGTCTCCGTCTACAAACCCCCCAATGATGAGAAAAGTCCATCCTCTCCGTCTTTTGCCTGCTCCACTTTTCAGAAAATGTGTGCTCAAAAAGGTTGTTTGGCGATTTCCCCTTCATGACATCACAAAGGGCAGTAACTCCTCCCCCAGGTGGGTGACACTCCCACAGCTAGGTGTTTGTTCTGCCCTCTGAGTCTGCCTTCTCACCATAAACAATAGGACATGGAGCGAAAGCCAGAGTACACCCAAGCCCTTCCAGAGAGGGGGCGTGGTTAGACACAGCTCATTTACATTTAAAGGTACAGACACGGAAACAGCCTGTTCTGAGCAGGGCTGAAATAGAGGGGTTTATAGACATGATCAAATACAGGATCAGAGTGGATTTAGAACAAGAAACTTAACACACATGTTTTGAGGAACTCTGAGACTTATTTACACTGGAGGAGAATATGCGACCTTTAACCCCTTAAGATGTTTGTATTTTCCTCACAGTTTTCTGCTTCTGTCTTCTGTGAAGTGACTTTTTTATTCCGATACATCAAAGGCGTCATATTTTTATGAACTACTCAACATGTTCTTTATTCAGAACTTGTCTTTTTCATGTGTCCTGACTGATGTCCGCACAGAGTTCCACTGAGAAGATGAAGTTATGACAGATTTTGGTAATAGATTCTGGATTGTTTGTCTCTTTTTTTGTCTCAAGTTTGAGTTTGTTTTGCACTTTCTTTGTAGAGAAATATCAGGTCAGTATGTCATCTTTCCTTCACGTTTTGATTCTTATGTCACCTTGAAAAGTCTGAAAATGTTCCACAAACACAGTTGAATCTTATAAATAAAGTTTTTTTTCAGCACTTTAGTTTCTGTCCACAATCCCTTTGCATGTGTCGAGCACTAACATGACATGAAAAATTATAATTTTACAGTTTATTTTCAGACTGAACAAGTTGTCTTAAGTTATCACCGAGGAAAAAGCCTTGCATTTAAAGACCTGTCGATCATTTCTGGAGCGAAAGCGATAATCCTTTGAGAGCAGAGGGTTTGAATATTTCCTCAAACACTTGAAGCATCCGCTGCTTCGAGCCGTCCATCACGTTTGACTGGCAGAGGCTGATTGGTTGTTCAGCTCAGGGGCAAAGAGGAAGAGCTGATGACGGTTCTGCTGTGAGGGTTGTGGCTGCAGGATCTGCTCTGCAGCGCCCTCTAGCGGCGGGTCCTGTGTACTGCAGGCTGCACGGCTCTGATTGGACACTGTGCTGCATGTTTGATTAAAATAGATCTGGATGGAGAGAGGGTGCAGTAATGTGACAGAGAGAGGAGAGGGGAGGATGTTAATGATGCTTTAATTGGTCTAAAAATAAAATGTAATGACATTTAACTTCAATGCACGATTTAAACTCTTTACAAAAAAGTCTCAGGTGGAGAAAGATGCTGAAAACAAGCCAAGTATGAAGTCTTATTTTGCTGAATTTGGACGTGAAGTTTGTTAAATACCGCCAATAATAAGGAAAATAAGTCAAACGTTCCACAGAGCTGTAAACCTGGTCCTGATTCCACATTTCTTTAACATGAACACAAATGATACAAGTGATATCACCAAGCTTTTAGGTGAACTTCTTATAATTTTGTTACGCTGTGACTTAGAAAATCTCTTTTCCAGAAACAATTAATTTAGTATTACTTTATACTTTTTAATTTTCAAATTATTGAAAAATTGTTTCTGTGAGGTGCGGCTGTGGATCAGTGGTAGAGTCGGTCGTCTCTTAAGCGGAAGGTTGAGGGTTCAATCCCCAGCTCCTGCAACTACATGTCTGATGTGTCCTTGGGTAGGACACTTAACCCCAAGTTGCTCCCACTGCTTCAGTGGCAGCATATAAATGTGTATGAGTGTGATGAGTAACTTCTGATGGACTCTTCACTCAGCAGCCTCTACCATCAGTGTGTGAATGTGTGTGTGACCTGCAGAGTAAAAGTGCTTTGAGTAGTCAGGAGACTAGAAAATAAATATATATATAACAAGCTCAAGTCTGTTTACATCAGGCTGGGATTTGTATTTAAACCTTTCAAAATAAAACATTTTAATTGTTTGTAAAGCATGTCAAAGCATGTCAGCATAAATAAATGTGCATATGATGATGACGTAAATAAACAAATTTATAAGTGAAAAGAAGCACAGTGGGAATGTTTATTTTGCTGAGTTTATACTTCTGGTTTCTTGTGCAAAGACAGCAGGTAGAATCGTGGTTAGTGCCCAATGTACGGAGGCTGTAGTCCTTTAAGTGGACGGCTCAGGTTCAAATCCGACCTGTTGCTACTTCCCCGCATGTCAGTCCCTCACTCTCTCTGATTTCGGTCTCTATCTACTCTCCTATCTCTTCAATAAAAGGCCCAAAAAGCCCAAAGTAAATCTGACAAAAAAATAAATAAAATTTAATTTGTTTTATTTTGAAGTTGATTATTTCGATCTGGTTCTGTGTTATTGTTATGAGCCTTCAGGGACCTTTTCCCCCGCAGGATCTTTAATGTTTAGTTTGCTTTCTGTAATTTTGTGACTTATTTATCATCTTGTTGTTTTTATGTTCGTTTTTTTTTTTTATTGTTTTCTTTTGCTTGATTGTTCAGCTCTTATGTCTCGTTTTGTTGATTTTAAATATTCGTATCTTCCATTCTCTCTTTCCCTTCTTAATGTAGACCTAAGGCCCGGGCTTCGGAGCTGAAGAGGCCTCATCGTTACATTTTTTATTTCTGTTTCTGATCATTTACAAAGCAGCACATTTCATGTTGGATCTCAGTGCCAGATTCCCCTCAGAATCAGTGATTAAAATACGATCATAAATACGCACAGAGGGATATAGGCTACGTTATGATATAAAACGTGCTTTTTCTTTCCCTGATTCATCGTTTCTCTGAGTGAGCACGTGTGAGCTCCCCGCTGTGTGAGCAGCACTATATTATCCTGCTCTTACTGCTCTGTTAGGGGTAATTGTACACTAATTACCGTGAAGTTGTAAACTCCTCCTGCTGCAAGCTGATTGGTCAGTCCTCAGTGGACATCACGGAGCTGGCCCCGCCCCCCGCGTGTGTCCCAGGTATAAGACTGTCCAGGTCAACAGCTGAGAGGGCAGAACAGTTTGTGACAGGACTCCAAATTCCCCTAACAGTCAGAGTTTCTCTCTCATTGGTCCTCCTCTTCTTCTTCTGCTGTCTTTAAAAAAAGTTTGCTTTTGGTCTGATCACTGGTCTGTGTCTGTGTCTGTCTCTGGATTTTTTCCTCCTGGCTGAGTTTGGACTGAACCATGGAGCTGTCGGATATCTCTTTCCCCCTCCCCTCCGCAGATGATTTCTATGACGACCCCTGCTTCAACACCAGCGACATGCACTTCTTCGAGGACCTGGACCCGCGGCTGGTCCATGTGGGCCTGCTGAAGCCGGACGACTCCTCCTCTTCACCCTCTCCCTCCCCTTCCTCCTGCTCCTCTTCCTCGCCGTCCTCTCTCCTGCACCTCCATCACCACGGCGAGGGGGAGGACGACGAGCACGTCCGGGCACCGAGCGGGCACCACCAGGCGGGCCGCTGCCTGCTCTGGGCCTGCAAGGCCTGCAAGAGGAAGACCACCAACGCGGACCGAAGGAAGGCGGCCACGATGCGCGAGCGCCGGCGGCTCAGTAAGGTGAACGACGCCTTCGAGACCCTGAAGCGCTGCACCACCGCCAACCCCAACCAGAGGCTGCCCAAAGTGGAGATCCTCCGCAACGCCATCAGCTACATCGAGTCCCTGCAGGCGCTGCTGCGCGGCGGACAGGACGACGGCTACTACCCGGTGCTGGAGCACTACAGCGGGGACTCTGACGCCTCTAGCCCCCGCTCCAACTGCTCCGACGGCATGGTGAGTTCAGGGGCAGACAGTATTGAAAGAGGGGGAGAGGGTGGAGGAGAGTCAGGGCGCTTTAGTGGAGTCTGTGAATGTGTCCAAATATCTTCCTGCGCGCCTATACGCACGGAACGTTTTTACTAAACAACAAATCTGAGTTGTTTTTATTTAGAGTTTACTCTTAAATCATTTCCTAATTTTTTAACTGATCTGCTCTACAACTTTGCGGAGTCGAAACGCTGTTTTTAATATTTTCAGGTTGTATTGTGGCCTCTGAAACTCGGCTCCCTTTCGAGTATTTATTCTAATTCTGTTTCACTTTCTCAAAGCCACTTAAACATCGCCTCCTTTTTATTATGTCGAAACTATTCGAGTCTTTTCTCCCTCCAGGGGTTAAAAAAATAATTTGTAATTTAGATTAAATAAAAATAAAAACGGAAAACTTTAAATTCAGTTTACACTTTTAGTCTGAGTGAAGCTTCCTCTCTGCGATGGAAACTCAAATTCTGGATTTCGTTAGATCGCATTTAATTCTGTAAACAACAGGCTGATTTCGATGTTAATATATTTAATTAACGTGTTTTTTTTTTTAATGAATAATATGTCGCGAATTTTCACGTGCATCAATCATATTTTTCAAATTAAAACACGGAGGTTGGAGGCAAAGTATTTCAAATGTAACGAAATAAAATAGACGAACTCGTAGTTACGTGTTGTGGATAATATCAGGGAGTATTTATTATTTATTATAATTATTTTAGTATTTACGATTTAATAAAAAAAAGATAGTTTATAATTAATTCATCCGGAATAATTGTCATATTTTTTTAAGGATGACTCTCGTTTTCTAAGATTTTCCCCTCAACACCTCAGTGATGCGTTTCAAGTTAATTGGAATTCATTTGTCTTTTTCTACAGGTTTGATGATTTCCAGTCTTACACTCTGCTCCTTTTCTTCTTCCTTACTTTATTTAATTTCAGTGCCGTTCCGCGTTGTAAAATGCCGTAAAGTGTGTTTTTTCTTCTTCTTGTGCACATGCACATTCGTTTAGCATGAAAGGTGCTAAATAAATAAAGCTTGATTAATATTTAATGTGTTTGTTTATTTCTCCCTCTACAGGCGGACTTCAATGCGCCGAGCTGTCAGTCCAACAGAAGAAGAAGTTATGAGAGCAGCTCTTATTTCTCAGAGACGCCAAAAGGTAAGAAACTTGCAAATAACAGACTTTATTTATTATAATGCTAGCATGCTAATTAGGACACCAGTGAAGCTTTGGACTGAGTGATTCATCCTGATGGTAAAAAACACAGATGAACAAAAAAAGAGCAATAAAACTGGAAAGATGAAGAGTGTACTTCTTCTTCAGGCTGCACCGCTGACCTGATTTGTACAGTTTATTATTCTGACTCTCACTCACTGCTAATTCTGTTATTTCTATTCTTAAATTTAACAGACTTTCCAGCTGGGATTACTAAAGTTATTCAGATTCCAAAAAAATCCAAAAAGATTTGATTCTGGTTAGAAAAGCGTCACAGATGGCCTAGCGGTTATGTTGCACCCCCCATGTACAGAGGCTGTAGTCCTCATCGCAGTGGCCGTGGGTTCGAATCTGACCTCGGCCCTTTGCTGCACTTCATCCTCACAATATTTTCTGTCTCTCTTCAGCTGTCCGATCTAATGGAGGCAAAAATGGCCCAATTGTAAAAAATAAATAAATGTTTGATTTGAGACATCAACAGATTTGATTTATGTTCCTTCGTTTTTAAAAACAAACATGGCGTTTTAAAGATGTTTTTCTCCCTCCGCCTTGACTCAAAGGTATTCCAGAGATCATATTTCAGTCATTAACTCTGTGGTTCTGTTTCGTGCAGGCGGTCTGAAGAGCGAGAGGAGCTCGGTGGTCTCCAGTCTCGACTGCCTGTCCAGCATCGTGGAGCGGATCTCCACCGAGAGCAGCAGCAGCGGCGGCACCCTCCTGCCCGCCGCCGACAGCTCCGGCTCCACGCCCACAGACCCCGCAGGAGACGCAGCTGCTCCGGGATCCGTCCAGATCCCCTCCCCGACCGCCAACCAGGACCCCAACCTGATCTACCAAGTCCTATAGACCCTCACACCTGGGACGTTTGCACCAACAACACACTGTACAGTCGTTAAAACACACACACAAGTTTAAAGTTATTGTTTTAATTTATCGAGCTGAACTGAGACTTCACTTCCTGTTTGCATCGGCAGAAGAGGCTTATAGCGTCACCTCTCCTCGCCTGTTCTTCGTCCTCAAGCTGAAATATGGAAGATCAATCCTGCCAAAAAAATAACAGTCAAAAAACATCTTATGACCTTAAACATTTTAACACATTTTAAGGGCCTTTGTAAAAAAAAGTCCAAACTAGAAGAGTTTGTTTTAAAAATCAGCTGGTGATATTTAGTATTTTATCTTAATGTTTTTAGTCTTAAATCAGCAGCTTTAAAACTAAAACTTAATTAAATTATGAAATAAATAAAATAACGAGTGTAACACATGCTTTATTTCAGGATTAAATTGTTGGATTTTTTTTGTCGGTCAATTTAAAAATAACTCAGTCGGCAAACCATCCAGCCAAAGTTACTATTGTGATTTTGAGAAAGTACGGAAGCCCTAATTGGACACTCATCCATACATATTATTTTACACTTTCCCGATGATGAGATCAAATAACCGTTATTTATCCCAGAATGGAGAAGTGTACAGCATTTCCGCAGTAACAGAGCCCAGATGACTATTAACCAGATGAGAGTTGATAACACGTTATATACCCCGTCATCGCGAGATTGCAACGCTGGCTTTCCCCTGACACAGACTTAGTTTTTCAAGATGTTGTTGTGACAGAGAAACCCACAAATAAACGAGTCGAGATCTCAAAAAAGCAACCGAAATGTTCTCCTTATCAAAAAAAGTAGCGATGCATGTCCTCATCGGGCTTCTGTAGAAACGTTCAATTTCCTATAATTATCATTCCAATTTTTTTTTTTCAAATTTCTGGCATAAATGACCTTCCATACATTCAGCAGATTTAAACCCTCAGATTTTCTTTTTTTATCTGCTGTGTTTTGTAGTTTGGACAAAACCACTTGCATGCTGGGAAATGTAGTTCCTCTACATTATAACAGCGTTACTCACAACGAGTATTGATCAGTTCAGTTCCTGCTGTATTTTATTTTTTATTCTTTATTTAAATTATGAAAAGTCGTATTTAAAGAAGCCGAGTCGTTCAGGTGGATTGTCTTCCTGTTTGTGTTTCTGGTTTATTCGATTAAGTACGGAGGCCCAAAAAGGACAAAAAAACATCCACTTACATTCCTCCACGTTCGTCCATTTGAAGTCTGAAAAGCCCCAGCTGTTCAATTCCCTCAGGACAAGAAACAATACTAACACAAGTACTTAAACCACATTAATAATAATAATTAACCACATGTAAAAAAAACAAAAGTAAAGGTTCAGACCTCCAAGTCAAACTTAAAATAATCTCAGTGTAGTTTTCACTCACTGCAGCGGAGGACCATTTTTCTGTTTGTGTACATATTCTGTAAATAAGAGGCGATTTGTTCCAAGTGAAAAGTGTTAATTATGTATTTAATGTTTCCGTCTGTTTGTTGTGAAAATGTTAAACTTTATATTTATACTTCTGAAAACTGAGTGACAAATAAATGAACTTATTTATACTAAAACACACAACTGATATCTCTATGTTTGATGTTTAAAGAAGAATGTGCAACTTTTTGATCTAGTAGATGTCGCCCAGCATGAACCCAAAACAAACTGCTGTTTGGCCACACCTCCTCCATACTGAAGCCTCTGCTCTCCTCCAGAGGTTCAACTGTGTTGAGTGAATAAATCCTGAAGGCCTCATTTAGGATTCCAGCTTTTAACCGCTTTACACGTCGAGTGAAGTCAATTGGATGTGTTGATATTTTTCAATTCAAACATGTTTGTCCTTACGTTCCCAAGTTGGTGAGGGGACGAGGGGAGTAACAATAAAAATGGAACATCGGGATTGAAGAAAAAAGACGAAAAACTAACATATCATTTATTAACAACTTAAACACGGATAGACAATTAAACTGAAAACAAGCTTCTAGCACAACACAACTAAAGAGACGCTACACACTGATGGAAAAACCAACACAAATAAAACAAAAGAAACTATGAACGAATGCGTCTTGTCAGACAACCCCAGGGATGGCGATTAGTTTTCTCCCGGTGCTGAGGGGGAGCTTGACTCATATGTTGGGGTGCCATGAATAGTTGATTTTCATGAATTCATATTTACTTTTTAAATTCTCTCTTTTTTTTTCAAATAAAGCAGACACACGTGGGGGGGTGCTTAACCGGGGTTAGACAGATTTATGATGGGGCTATAGTGCTTAGACAACTCCTTTCTTCCACTGAAGTCGAAGATCAGCTCTCACTTCCACACGATGACTGCATAACCTACTCGCTCTGCTATCTCCTGCTTTTTATGTTGAAAAAAGGTCAAGACCTCTGATTGCATGTTGATATAGTGTGAACACACACACACTACGGCATGTAACATTCATGAAATAAAAGTATAAACATTTTTCTTCAACAAAGATTGAACAAAAAGAACCCAGTTATTATCCTTATTAAACTATTTACTTAAACGACAAAACTGACTGTCATATTCAACACAAAACAAAATAAACCTGTTTAAGTGCGTTATTAAACTTATTTACAGTCAGTCTCTCGTTTTCAGTTCAGCTTTGAGGCATTTGTCTTTAAACTTTGAGTGAAACTGCTGAACATTCAGCTTCAACCTGTTGACTGTTTTCACATCACAGAGCAGCAGCTCCCTCTTGTGGTCGCTCAGTAGAACTGCAGCAGCCATAGATACTGATGGAGTCAATTCTGTACATTATGAACAAGGTTCCTGCTGCTCTGTCTTCACCAAGCTGCAACCTCTGGTGTTGAAAAATGAAGCTAATGCAGAAGTGTTAAACCCTGCAGTTCCTCAAGTGTCCACTAGAGGCCGCCTCAGCTCCAGCTCTCAGCCTGATGTTAGGTTGACTGAAAGTAAGACTGAGACAGAATTTCCAGCATGGAGACCGCCTTCGATGACAGATGGGGGACGGCACTCAGGCTTCAAACGTTAATATTTGCAGAATGGTCTTTAACTGTTTTTATACAACACTTTCATATTTTATAATTTAATTAAAAAACTAATTATTTTTATTTGATTCCACTTATAAACTGGATTACAACAGTCTTGGTACACTCTTTTATTGATTTATTTTTAGTTTTATCCCTTTATTGAAGTGACAGGAGCGTGAACAGACTCTGATTTTGCCCAAGATTTCTTCCTCTTATGGTCTGACTTCCCTTCCTTTTTGTGCACCAAACAAGCAACTTCATGCTTGTCTGACAACACTCCTAATCCGTTTTTACATCCAGTTTTATTCACAATAAAGATGGACTTTTCTTTCATTATCGCTTTCTTCACTGAAACTGAAACATCTCTCTTTTTCTTTTCCCTTCCTGGCTTCTTCACAGCATTTTATTTCAAACTCATCAGTCTTCTCTAATCTTATCTAATTTCTCCTGTAAAAACAGGCTTTTTTGAATGGGTGTGTATGTGACTTCCTCTGCTTCTGCAGTCAGCCTCTAGTGGACACTTGTGGAACTGCAGGATTTTGCACCTCCGGGTTCATTTTTCAAACCCGGAGGTTGCCACTTCATTTTGTGATGATTGAAGAAACAACAGAAAAAAACCTCTCTCACAGGTAGAATGTGTCAAAAAGAAGTAGGAGTGTGTCTCTCTGTCTTCATTACCCACCGTTACACAAATGAATAAGAGGGCAAGGCATGACTCGTATTCTTGTCTTTATTTCAGTAGTTGTGACTTCTGCTGTAGTTTCATTGTCAGCATCATGTTTACCTGGAAGTCCTCTAAACAAACTGTGCAGTGCTTTACTGGAAGTGCAAAACGAAACAGTGTGCACAGTGTGAGCTTTAGAGTCTGATTTTCTGTGTTTCGATGTGCAGAGTTATCAATCCTCCATGGGAAAAAAATAAACATTAGGCCTCTGCTGAGAGCATCTGCATAACGACAGGTGGGCTAGCTGTCATGCTGAAAGAAAGAGCTCCAGGATAGTTCCATCTTCTTTCAAAAAGTAACAGGTAATGAATATGCTGGCTCCACATTAAGATGAGCAAACACAAACAGGGGTACAGGCTGGTAGTAGCGCTGTTATGATCTACGGGTCGCTCAGAAGGAAACCTTTACCGACCACCTTTTGTGACCAGTGCAGGTGGATACATGTGAGTTTGTGGTAGAATTAAAGTGTCCGGACTTGGATATTTGAAAATATGGTCAACCTTTACTAAAGCCATCAACACACTGTCTGACTTGCTGACTCTTCATGATCAATCTAGCCATATTAGCACTAGCTTTATTAGCTGTTAAGCTAGCCCATCAAACTTTACTTTCTTGTATTTTTTGTATTTATACTTTATCATGAAATCCTATTTCAACAACAACCCGGCACAGTATCAGTCATTGATTTAGATATTTATAAAACCACATTGGGAGTATTTTGGTTACGCCGCAGAGCCTCCATATCCCGATGATCTCATTGATGAAAATTTCAATTCCACTCTGCAGTCAGAAGACAGTGTTGAACAAACAACTTTAAAATTACACGGCTAAAAATACTGAACTTTATTGATTTGTGAATAACAACAGATCTACACACATAGCTTGAAGAGTCACACTTTATTTACAAAAATACTGAGAACCAAACAGTGGAGGGCGAGGAAGCGAGATGGCCAACAGGTTTGAAGTCGTTTTTTTTTATTCCTACTGAACAGCAGCTAAAGGCTCCTGGTTATATGTTTCAGGACGAGGGTTGATAACCGCAAAGTAAACTTCAGCGTTACGTGCTTCTTCTGAGCTACGACCTTCGCCACATTGCGTGTTGTTTCTTCAGGCGTGTGTCCGAGGCGATCGCAGTTTGGTTTCTGTGCAGCAGCGGGGCGAGCCAGTCTACTTTCTGCGGCGGGCGGCAGCTCCCTTCTTGCTGCTGTAATGCAAAAAAACACAAGAATGTGGAAACACGTCAGAACTTTGAACATTTTTGACAAGTTTTCAACAACAACTTTAAACCAATTAATCTTTTTTCCCTGTCAAACCCGCCTGCAAAAAAAATCCTTCTGCTAGCATAAACTCTGATATGCTAGCAGACATGCTGTCATGCTCGATAAAAAGAAAAATCTAAGCCCTTTGATTAAATTGAGGATTTACTTACTACTTTAACTGAATACTAGCCTACACAACGCTAATGAACTCAGAAAGCAGTTAGCATAATTTTTTTGGGAAGCAGTGTGGTTATCTGCCACAAAATTTACTTACTTTTAGTTGAAAGAACATCGTTATAAGACGGACCACTAGCCGAAACATGTTGGTCTAATTCAGAATTGTTAGACACATCGATCTTGTTTTTTAAACTACAAGTATCGCTTGAGCTTTTTGACCTCTTTTAGCATCATTATTATTCAGCAAAGAAGTAAAATCAAATGACTTCTCTATATATTTATATAAGCCTGTGTTATGTGATGGGAAAAACCTTCAGGTGGCTAAAGTTGCTATTGCTAAAGTAGCTAACGCTGTTCTAGTCCCCTTTCTCTAAATATGATTTCACAAGTTACTGAATTATAAAAGCGAATCTATTAATGGTTAAAAAACAACAACAAAGCAACCTGAAGTGAAGAAAATAATTTTACAAAGAACAATTCTTTAGATCGCAAGAACACCAAATAAAACTCCAAACTATCACACGAAAACATCTTTAGTAACATAAATAATCAAAGGGATTTTGGGCTACATGCAATATTATTTTAACATCCAGCTTCATTACGTCCAAAGTCCTGAAGTGTCGGCGACCGACGACAGGCTCATGCAGGACTTACCTGAATGGATTGAGTCGAGACCAACAGCCACCAGACTTATTACACACCTTTACAGTTGTAGTAACGATAGTAAATGTGTTTATTTACTATCTGTAATTAGACTTAGTCAACAAATTAAGACATGGAACTCAGGTTTAGAGGAAAACATGAAAGACAGATTTATGACAAAACTGACACAAACTATTGATGTAACCATTTCAGCTTGATGACTTTAGCCAGTGAGCCTAGGGTTTTCACGTAAGCTAGTTAGCCTTTGGTTTTTCCGTTAGCTAGTTAGCCTAAGTTTTTTCTTTGACATTTGCTGTTCAGCCTAGGGTTTTAAACGATACCTAGTTAGCCTATGGTTTTTCATGTTATCTAGTTCATCTAGGGTTTTCCGTTAGCTAGTTAGCCTTGAGTTTTTTTTACGTTAGCTAGTTAGCCTTGAGTTTTTTACATTAGCTAGTTAGCCTTTCCTACAATTTTTGGTCTATCTAGATTAGAGCTGTACTTGTATCAGCTGTTTAGCGAGCCTGATTACCCTTTAAAGATGGTACTAACTTTTTCAGTAAACAAAATAAAAAAGTGAAATGTTATTAATTTTGTTTGAAAATTGGAATCCTTTAAATGGATAATATTTACAGGAAAATATAAGCCAGAAATTCAGATTCTCGCTG